TTTATCTATCTATCTATCTATCTATCTATCTATCTATCTATCTATCTATACATATATACCTGAGAATACAGTGAGAGGGAAATAGCTAGGAATTCACCAAAAGTCTAACAATGGTTAAACAGCGATGTGACTTTTCAGATAATTTGTACTTTAGTTTTTGTATTTTTCTTTATTTTTGGAGGCTGAACAGAGATATTCTTTTCATAAACAGAATACAGTCACCAAAGCAAAACACACAGAGAGAACAGATCCTTAAGCAGGCAAAGGAAGGAGCAAGGATAGAGGGCAGGGCATCCCTCTCCACTGTGGTGATATGTAAGATGTCTTTTTCCTGCCAAAAAGAAATTACTTTGTGGATTAATTCATGTAGTTTGAAGCCCACCTCCTTTCTACTATTTTACCCATTAACAGACTATGGATACAGTTAAGAGTTCATTTAGGGATGGGTGTAGCAGCAACATAAGTGGCTCAGAGGGTTCCCTGTGTTCTCCAGGAACTTCTTTTGATATCTCTTCTCTATGTGCCAGCTCCTGCAGAATAAAAAACCTGGGCCTTGTTGTTGTTTTCATTGTCACAGTTTTCTTTTGAGTAGACCTCCTAGCTACTAACAATAGGTACAGTGGATTGTGTACTTTTGCCTCCTAGTTCTACAAATAACTCTAGGCTCATCATTCTTATGCCCAGAACCACTGGGGGAAGGAGATTGAGTCCTGGACTTGCTGACAGAATCAATAACCAACACTTGATCCTATGATCTGTTCCTGCCTCCAAAGGCTGGAACACCTAAGGATGAAAGGGACGATCCCCAGATTCTACCAGGATCACATCCTCATCTGAGTCATCAAGGGTATCATCTATTCCTATCCCTTATCATCCTGATCAACTCCAGGAAATTGAGAAGCTGCTACTGCTTGTTTGCATACATCTTGAGAAGATGCTTAAACCTGAAGCATCTGCCCTTGTTCAGCTCAGCCCCTACCAGGAGCTGGTGTAGGTGAGTTTAGTTTGTAACTTTCTCAGCTAGGGTGCCTGCCTGAATAGTATTCTGCAGCTGCCTCTAAGTGGACCACACAGAAGGTTTTCTCCCATTGTGCGTGCAGAGTGTTAAATTTACCATGAGCAGTCACACTTCTCTCAGACTCCCCAAACACCAGTTTCACTGCCTGCTAAAAGTTACCACATTTAGGTTGGGGTTGGCAGCCTGGAGCAAATGCATGACCTCTCAGGCAGGGCCCCTAAGGGTTTTCATTAAGGGCTTGAAATTTTGTTCTTTTGACATATTTCAATCTGGCAGGACTCTCTTGACTTGAGTCAGTCAGTCACAAAAGGTTTATTCCCCCTGAATACCACCCTACCAGAGAACAATTTCATGTTTCTTTCCGTCATATGGATTATTAAAAGACTGGGTTTCTATTCCAGACACCTCATCATGGAATGGGTCGATGGTGGCATGGCGATATTTGGCCACCAGGTGTTTCTCACACATGCAAGGATGCTAGCCACGCCTGAGCACAATAGGGCATCTGAACATAGGATGTTTGGTCTTTTTTTTTTTAGCCTAATATGTAAGCATACCCAAAGTAATGTTCCTGGGTTGTGCCTTCCCTCTGTTTCAGTAGGAACTGTAAGAGGGGAGAAAAAACAGGTCAAATCTTAATAGGCTGTGGGGGAACCCATCGGCTCTCAAATTCCCTACCCTCCTGAATACCCTGCAATGCATTTTATATCCACCTACTGCACTAAAACTGTCCCACAGGAGACTGGCAATCACCTGCCCACCTATTCTTCAGGAGGGGCAGCAACTGTTGCTTAGAATTCTTTGATGCTGATATTGAGCTCTCAAAATAGGGCACAATATGGTAAGTCTCACAGATTTATGGTAATAAGTAAGATCTCCATTAATCTCATGATCTTAGGTCTCAACCACACTCCTCAAAGTTTCCTTTATTTCTCAAATTCTTACAGAAGCTCAGAAACTAGTGCTCACCATTATTTCACTTTCAGCCTTTGCAACTGGTGCCCTCTATGAGAGAGAGCTAGGCTCCTGATGTGGTCAACCTCTGTCCACAGGAGGTTGAAGTTCAGGCTGCTCAAGCCATTGAGACTATGCCATAGCTGAGGGAAAGAGTTTATCATCAGAAGCAGCCTCATTCGTTACCCTGCTATCCCCCTCCACTGTGACCAGACAGAAAATTCCCTATCCCACCTTCTGGATAGAACCCACCATCCTCTTCATTACGTTTCCCATCGGGAAACCACTGGCCTGCCAGTTGTGCAATCAGCAGCACAAGAGTTCAAGTTCAGAATAGCTTTGGTGGGCTGTCACTGAGAAAGGGAATAGCATCTAGTCAGGCCCCCATATCCGTATTTCTTCCTGGGAAGAGAAGAGATGCAAAGGGAATTCAAAGCAGACAGCTTTCAAGTCTTCTCCCACCTCCCAGGAAATGCCCCCCTCCCCAATTCTGGCAAATCCCACCCAATGGGCAGCATCCACGTGAACTCCACCTCCCTCATCATCGGCGTAGCTGGACCATGGAAGTACTTCTCCTGCCTCGCAGTTACCGATTTTACAAACCAAGAACCGCTCCTAAACTGGTGGAGCTTCTCCCTACCCCACAATCGCGTCTTCCTTTCTTTACCTAGGCTCTGTAGGTGGGCGGCGGATGTTAGGGTGTCACGGATGCTTGGGCGTCACAACTGTGTTTCTCTTTCCGGTCTCTGAGGTCCTGCAGGGGAAAAGGATGGCTCCTCCTCGGTCGCGAAGCAAGCCAGGGCTGCCCCACAGAGCTAGCTCTCAACACCGCTGCCCAGCAATGGGTAGCGGAGTCCGGGCAGCGCGGTTTCCTGGGCAGCCACGACTCCCCCCGCCCTCCATTTCCTCCTGCCCAGTAGCCGTGGCTGCTTTTAGCCTCTGCCCATTGAGACAAAAGAGCTTGATGAGCCCAGTAGCCCGACCAATCAGCGGGGCGCGCGGGGGGAGAGGGGGGCTCCCTGCGCAGCCTCGCATCCCAATGCTAATACTAAGAGGAGAGGGGGCCGGCGGGGGCTGTGGCCGACCCTCGCGGGAGCTGGCGTGTCGTCAAGTGCAGCTTGGACGCACCAACCGGGCCCATTTTACTCGTGAGTTTATTGCTTTCCCCTCGCTTCCCTTCTTCTTATCCCCCTTCCGCTGCTGCTCTTTGCTCTTTGAGACCGGATGCGTTAAACGTGAGGCGGGACAGAAAACAAGTGAACAATGAGAGTTCTTTACCTTTGTATAGAGGGAAGGGGAAAAAGCTTTTGCTCAGCGTTTTCCGTGTGTGCAAATGCGCTTGCACGGACATCTCATTTATTCTCAGCAACCGTATGAAGGAAGTAACAGTTTGCCCATTTAACAGAGAAAGATTCATAAGCATCCAAGCAGTATGGTTAGGAAGTGCAGAGCCAAGTGCTCACACTCAAGTCATCAAGTCTGACTTCAAAGACTGCCCCAGGTAAGCACTCCTCTGTGGGGTCAGATTAAGGGTTAGCGGAGAAGAGCCAAGACAAGATGGGAGGAGCAACTTGGGGCCATGTAGAATTATTAAGCAAGGACTATTATCTCCTTTTTAAAGATAAGGAAACAACCACAGAAAGCTTGGCCATCCTGCCCTGTGTCCTACAGCAAATAAGTAACAGCATCTGATTTTGCACACTGGTCTCTTCTGTTGTTACCAGCTCTTTGCCCTACTGTGCTGTCTGAAGAGCATTTTACATAGGTAGTCTCTAATCATCCCAACAGCCATCTTGATGTGATGGTAGTGTTGAGGGAAGTATGAGACAAGAGAAAGGGAACCTTTATGGTACCCATTGTACAGAAGAGAAACCGAGGCACCTTTCTTTTCCATTTTATTCTCCTGTTTACACTATAACAAGCTGCCTGTTTATAAAAGTAACATTTCTAAACTGGGTGTGGTGGTGCACATTATAATCCCAGCACTAAGGAGACTAAGGCAGGAGGATCGCTGAGTTCAAGCCCAACCTGAACTACATAAGTGAGACCCTGTCTCAAAAACCCCAAAGAAATTTTTCTATAACCCATTATAATCCCAAAGAGATAAGGCTCAGAGAGGTGAAATGACTTATCTAAAATTACATGATGAACTCAAAATTTGAACTGAGTCTCTGAATCCAGAACTCATGCTATTAACTGAAGTGCTGGTACCAAACATTTTGGAGAATTTGTTAGAAAGGCAGATTCCTGAGCCCCACTTCTGGGATTTTGATTTACTAGGTGAGTGTGTTTTGTGTTTTTAACCATTGCTGTAGTTGATTCTGAGGTGTACAGAGGTTTGTGAACTAACTGTTCTAAACACCTTATCATTCTGAAGGTCATAAGTAAATGGGCCTGCCACCAGTGCATCTGTCCACAGCATATTTGTCATGAAGTGTAACTCCAGAGCAGTTTCCTATCTGGGCTCTTTTCTGAAACCTTGAACTCTGGACATTTTTCTGAGTCCATAGCTTTGTAGATGTTCAAATGAGTTTTTGGCCCCCAAACAGCTAAGAACCATTCTTCTATAAACTTTCTTCATAACATCTTCCTCATTCAACTCCTGCTTGACGAAGAAGTATGAGAAATGAAACACCATTTAACCTGACCCCCACACTACAGCTCTCTGCCACTGATATAGCTGTTTCATTTCCTGGCTCAAGGATAGGTTGCTAGGTTGCCCTTCTGTGAGCTCTTCAGGGGACTTCTCCTTTGCTGGACTTGGGATCACCGGCCCTAGAGAAGGAGCAACTCCATGGAAACGGCATGCACGGTTGTCCAGAGTAAATGGGCGATGAAGCCAGTGGCTAGAAAACCTGTTCCATTTTCCCTGACTTCAGGTTCTTAGAGAGCAGGTATTACTTCCTTTATATAGATGGTGGCTAGGAGGCCTCTGTGGGACTTCTTGACTCCCGATGCTTGGAAGTGAGTGAAGAGTCTGATGCCTTTCAACTGCTGTTGGGTTCATTTTCAGCCTGGTAAGGTAGTTACCTGTTCCTTTCTGCCCTCTTGTTTACAACCCCTGTACCTAGAATTCCTTGGAGTAAACAGTCCATATTTGGAGAGAGCATCTTCCGTCACAAGGTTGGGGCCTTCTTCTCATAGATGAAACAGAGGGGTAGTGGTGATGGAGGGTGGAGAGTGTTAAGAGGGACAGAGAAGGCCAATTGCTCACCTCAAAGTTAGGGGTGAGGCTGGCAATAGTTCTTGGTTCTTCTTCAGACTCTTGCTTCTGCTTGCCAGTACCATGGCATCTCATACTGGCCTTTCAGCAGAATCTTGTTTTATATTTGGATCATCACCACATTGCATACCTGCAGTTGGAGCTGGTGAGGATGGAATCAGATAGGACCAAAACACTGACAGAAATTCAGAGTTCTGATAAAAATACTGAAACAAAGTAGATTGGGTAAAGGTTGGGCCATTAGAACAAAGAAGGGTGTCTGAGCAGGACTGAGAGGAACATTTGCAAATTTGCAAGCTAGATCCAACTGGATACAGAGCATCAGCCCTTGTCTATGGCCCCATGTGTGGGTGTGTGACCTAAATGATGGCTCTAATGAGACCACGTTTTGCAGTTTCAACAAATAAAGCTTAAAAACTTGGAGGTTAGGAGATAAAGCTTTCAGATGAAACAATAATAGCTACTTTTGTCTGGCTGCCTCCTCTGTTCCAGGAACTTTCCATCTACTATCTCATTTAAGCCTCTGAGCAGCCTTGTTGAAACAGACATTTGACTAAGTTGTAAACATAGGAGGAAAATCTCAAGTTCAAGTGGTAACTGCTCAAGACCAACTCTAGGTACAGTCTTTGCTTTGGATTTCATGTTAAGAGGCTGGGCTTTCCTAGATTGTTTAAATTGCACCTTTGCTTTCATGAGAGAAAAGCCTTCCCTGCCTCCCATGGGAAGATAGGATTTGTTAAAGCATGATATTTCATCTGGTTTTGGCTGGCCTGAGTATCCAATAGGAGCATGTACTCTGTGAAGATGGATAGGGAGGATGGGAAGCATCTTTTTTTCAAACATTTTATTGAAGCCACCAAGTCATGGATTCTGAACTCTTTATCTTATTTTCTTATTAATCTTTACAGTAACCTTTTGTGTTAGGTCTTATTGTCCCCATTTTGTGGCTGAAAAATCTGAGACTGAATAAAAATAGTTTCTTATCTGAGCTCAGTAGGTAATGGAGGCAGAATTCAGTCTAAGAAGTGTCTGCCCCCAAAGCATTTTAACAGAAAAATACACAGGAGAACAGTAGATTTCCTTTTCTCTATAAAATAAAAAGAATTAGATTTATAAAATAAGGAGTTAGATATTAAGGCAAGGTGTTTCTAAATTATTATTCACCTTTAATTCCTCAACATAATTTGCATAAATGGCAAATCAGGGATAGAAAAGTACAATTCCTCTATCAACTGTTGCTCAGAATTACTTTACATCAACCCCCTAAAACATTATAAAGTTATGGGGATACTTACAGAGCATTTTACCCAGTCTGCTAATTTTATAACTGAAATAGATTCAACTCCAGTGAATTTCTAAAGGTCATATAGAAAGTTGATAACAGAACTGGAGCTTAGAATGCTAGTCTGCCAAATCTTACTAATTTTCATAATGCTAAATTGGTCTGCGTTGGAGAGTCTGTGAACATGTGTTTATAAAATGCTGAGGAGGGACTGGAACATTACTGCACTCTGAGGTGGAAGAAGAGACAAATATTTATCTCACTGCCTGTGCTTGTTTAGGCACAGGTATGATTTGAGAAAGAAGACCTTTGGTAGGAGAGCTGTTTGAGGCCTCTCTTAACTTCCAGACAATAGAAAGCTCCGAACTGAGCACTCATTCCTTTCTTTTGTTTTGAGATGGGGCCTAGCTCTATTGCTCAATCTGGTCTCAAACTCTTGGGCTCATGTGATCGTCCTGCCTCAGCCTTTTAAGTATTGGAACTACAGTGTGTACCACCATACCTAGCTCTTGTTTCTTTTGATCCCAAAGTTCCTTCATGTGTCCAGTCTCCAAGTTGCTTCTCACACTACCCCACCCACTTCCAGGCCTTTCTGGGATAAGAACAATAGTTTGGAGTCCTTGTACTGACATTTCGCCTTGTATTATGATTTTGAAACCAGAACAGTTTTGCATCTCAAAGAACAAATGGCTATGTCTGGAAAGATTTTTGATTGTTGCTTTTGATAAGTCTCCACTGGTGCTACTGGTATGCAGTGAGTAGAAGCCAGAAATGCCACTACACATCCTCCAATGCACAAGCCAGGCACTGATAATAAAGTATTATTCTGCCTAAAATGTTAATAGCACCAAGATTGTGAAAACCTCTGTCAATGCCTATGAGCCTAAAAGGTTAGGCTTGGAAATGCCAGGTGCTGAGCCTCCTGGCAATGAGCAGCTGCTCTTTCCTGCCCTCAATTTGGAGGAGGAGGTGGGACATTGCCATGACATAGGTACAATTTGATCTCAAATTTACAGAGAGAAGAGGGGGAAGATTTACCCCCTACTCAAATTTACTACGAATTTCTAGAGAAAATATTGCACTACAACTGCGGGGCACCTTTAAAAAACATTTTTGGAGTATGGAGTTATAGCTCAGTTGTAGAGTGCTTGCCTAGCCCCAGGTTCAATCCCTAGCACTGTAAACAACAACAGCAACAAAGTTTTGAAAAGGAAATGGAATTTACTGGATTAGTAGTTTACCAAATTTGATGTTTTATGTAATGAAAGTTGGATATAATGTACTTTGGAGTCCTCTTTCCCTGGTTTAATGGGTTTCAGTCATGATCCCTTGAATACTGGAACATCTGTTTGTCAGCAAAATACTGTAGAAATGTCTGTTAAAAACTGCCTTTACTTTAATTTAAGGTTGATTTTTTTGTAGTACTGGGAATTCAACCCAGGGGTATTCTACCACTGAGCTATATCCCCTGTCCTTTTTATTTTTATTTATTTATTTTTAGAAAAGGTCTTGCTAAGTTGCATAGGTGAGACTCAAACTTGTGATCCTCCTGCCTCAGCCTCCCTAAATGCTGGAGTACAGGCATGCACTATGATGCCTGACTAAGGTTGTTTAATTCATTACTTTGAAAAAAATTATTAATATATGTTTGTGATACATAATAAATACATTCATCATGTGGAATTGGAACATGAACATATGGCAACTTGATCTTTTTTTACTTCCCTTTCTCCCCTCCGATCCCCCTCTCAGATATTTTTCCCATCTACACAGTCCATCTCCATATTTCCTACTATCTATCTTTTATTTTGTTCTTTAAATTATTTATACTCCAAGTTTCTCACATATGAGAAAATGTGATATTTATGCTTGTGTATCTGATTAATTTCACTTATTAACATTATGGTCTCAAGGTGCACCCATTTTTCTATAGATGACTCAAATTTATTCTTAATAGTAGAGTAGTACTCCATTTTGTATAAATACCACATTTTTAATCCATTCATCTGTTGATGGACATATAGGCCACTTCTAAGATTTAGCTATTGTGAGTTGTGCTGTTATAAACATGGGTATGCATGTATCACTGTAATATGATGTCTTTAGCTCTTTTGTAAAAATACCCAGATGAGGTATTGATGAATTCTTAATGTCTTGAGAAAATGCCTCTTTCTCAGAAACTGGCCCACAGAGTTGCTTGTTTCCTTAGACCAGAGTTTCCCAGGGCTCTGTTTCTAACCAAGCAGTGAAAATGCTTGTCAGCAGATGTAAATCATCAGGCTAACCTCTTTTTCCCCCTCTTACCAGTTTGTTCCATCAGTCCCCAGTTGTCTTCAGCATGAAGGAGCAGAACCACTCTGCTGGGAAGGAACTTCAGCACAGGACACGAACAGAAGCTCCAGGAATGAAAAGCTGGAACTCCCAGGCCTACACTCTTGGGGCCATTTCCAACTTTATGTCTACTTTTCTGACTTTTCCCATCTATAAGGTTGTGTTCCGGCAGCAGATCCATGCTGTGGCAGTGTCAGAGGCTGTGAGACAGCTTTGGCATGAAGGCCCTCAATACTTCTACAGGGGAATCTACCCCCCTCTTCTTTCTAAGACATTGCAAGGGACTCTACTGTTTGGGACTTATGATAGTTTGCTCGGCTCTCTCTCCCCTGTTGGGCCACACTCTCTGAGACACCGCTGGGCTGCAGGACTCATGTCTGGTGTAGTGGAAGCTGTGGCACTCAGCCCCTTTGAAAGAGTACAAAATGTGCTCCAGGATGGTCGAAAACAAGCTCGCTTCCCCAGCACCTTCAGCATTCTCAAGGAATTCAACTCTTATGGGTTTTGGGGGCGGCTGTCACTGGGCTATTATCGTGGTTTCTGGCCTATCCTTGTCAGGAACAGCCTGGGGAGTGCTCTCTATTTCTCTTTTAAGGATCCCATCCAGGATGGCTTGGCAGAGCAAGGCCTGCCCCATTGGGTTCCTGCCTTGGTATCTGGTAGTGTCAATGGAACAATCACTTGCCTAGTTCTATATCCTTTGATTGTGCTAGTTGCCAATATGCAGTCCCACATTGGCTGGCAGAGAATGCCAACCCTGTGGGCCTCTGTGCAGGATGTGTGGGACACTCGGGGTCGAAAGGTACTCCTGATCTACCGAGGAGGCTCTCTGGTCATCCTAAGGTCCAGCGTGACATGGGGTCTCACTACTGCTATCCATGACTTCCTGCAGAAGAAGTCTCACTCCAGAAAAGAGCTGAAAGACTGATTAGCTGTAGGCAGTATGGTCGTGGCATCTTGGTTCTTCTAAATCTTTCCCGGTTGGTTCCTATATAGCTTCCTTCTTTAGGCTTGGTTACCTAACACAGGTATTCTTTAACATCTGCCAACTGTCATTGCATGGGAAAAGTTCCCAACTATCATCCTATTGGGCACAAACAAATCCTAACAACATTCCTTGGTCAGAAAGAGAAAGTTACTCCAGTCTATCTATCCAGAGCTTCAATAGCCTCAGAGCCAGGCGGCCCTTAAATAACTAGGAACCCAGATTAAATGCCATTCCTTTAAGGGATTCCCTAATAAAAGGAACCTTTATAAGGTGACCTTACTCAGGCATTTTGAGTTTTTGTACCCCTCCACGTATCCTCCAGACCAAACTGAGCAGGACTCCAATTTCAAAAAACTGTTCTTGACTCTGAGGACTCCATAAAACTTCTCAGATGGCTACATTTTCATGATGTTGTTCAGTACCCCTCTCATAATCACTCTCACATCTTCAGATTATAGGTCCTAGTTGCAGGGTAGCAGCTGTGACTGGAAATCCTAAATTTGGCTTGTTTCACTCATTGGGTGCCATAAGAACTGGTGGGGCTGGAGTTGGGAATAAGAAGAAATGTGGCCCCTGGATATAAAGAATAAAGACTTTGAAGCATGACATTTAATTACATGCAAAAACAGAAAATTTTTTTATAGATTGCTTAGTGTTATCTGCTAGGACTTTTTTGCTGGCAAGATTATTTCCTTGCCCAGAAACTGCTTCGGTTTCCCTAAGAAATCTGGAAGTGAAATGACCATATCGCTTCATAAATAACTGTGTATTTTGTTGATGTGGATATAGTTACTATGACACAAAGATTAGAAATCTTAAACTGACTTTCAGAGCTATTCAAAATATGGTCCGTCCCCATGTAATTTTCAACATATTATCACATCACTCCCACTCACATGGACCCCAGACATCAACCAAATTGAACTATTGTTCTCTCTCCAAATGTGCCATGAACTTATCCATCACAATACTTTGACTCATACTATCCTCTGCACTTGCACTGCTCCTTCTTTTGACCAGTCTGCCAAAATCTTCCGGTTCCCTAAAGTCTAGTCCAGATCCCACATTCTCTATGAGCCTTTTCTCTATTTTACCCAACAAAATGTTACATTTGTCTCTTACATCAACATGCCACTGATTCCATTATGTCATTGATCCATGTGGCGTTGTGTTCTTGATGTTTTTCAATACCTCCTAGTATACTGTAACAATCTTTGAAAGCAGGGATTGGTATATGCATTTTTAAATCCTCCATTGTGCCTAGGTGCTCAATAATGTTGGCAAATTTTGGAATTGATTATCAAGCTGTGATATGGTCTATATCCTCAGGGTGTTGTCCCTTCTACATGAAGATAATGTTACTGACTCATTGTCAGCAAGACATATGCCTTTGGGGGTATGTTTTGTTTTCTTTTAATAGTGGGTTAATTTTATGCTAATGATAATAATGCCAATAATGATAATACTAATAATAAAAATTAATTTCAACTGGAACATTTGATGAGTGTATTATTGATGGCACATTTGCTCTTAGAAGAACTTTAAGAACTGAAATTTCACAAACAGAATCACATTGCATAGCTAGTCCATTCATTTCAACATTGTAATTTTTAGTATTTTAAGTTGATATGTGTTGCAATTCTCCCCTTATAGGTGATATCATGAGAATCTGTTTGCACCTCCTTACTGAACCAAATTTGCCCTTATAATCAATCACCTGACTGGAGATCCAGAAATGAGAATTCCTCACTGAATGCTACAGAAATTAAGACAGAATTGGCCATCTGCTACCAGAGAGCTTTTGCCAAGGTCAACAGAAAATGGGTGTCCACAAGAGTTACAGATGAATCTGATATGTGCAGATTTAGGTGGGTTAGGACAGCACTGTCATTCCTCCCTACTTGTGGGTTCTGTAACTTTGTATTCAAACAACTGTGGATTGAAAATATCTGGGAAAAAATTACACTGTTCTGAATATGTATAAGTTTTCTTGTCATTATTCCCTAAACTACATAGTATAGCAACCATTTACATAGCATTTACCTTATATTAAGCATTATAATTAATCTAGAGAGGGGAGGTTATATGCAAATACTGAAGGCCATACTTTATAAAAGATCTGAGGATTTGCACATTTTGGAATTTATGAGGAATCATGGAACCAACACCCAAGGATAGAGGAGATGATTATACTTGTGAATACAAGGAAGTAGAACACATAGTTGGCAGATGGAAAGGAAAAATAGGACAGCAGATAGTTATATTTTAAGGCTAACTCTCAGAAGAAAATATTGTTTACAAAGCTTTGTAACTTAGCTTATGTCTTTGGGTTGTAAACTGAAGAGAATAAACTACCACTACACCTTTCCAGTTTTATCCAAGAGGTGCTTTTATCTCCAAGTACAATTTTTGATTTCCACTTATGTCATCAGTTCATATCCCTTTCTTTATTTTAACTTCCTATTTTAGAAATAATTTTGAATTTATGGTAACATTGTAAGTATAAATAAAGCACAAAGAACATCCATATAACCTTTACTCAGATTCACATTATTATTTACTTCATTTGCTCAATTATTTGAATGTACATTCTCTATGTGTACACACAAAATAATTTTCCTGAACCTAGAAGTGCATATATCAATTATTATATTTCTAGATTCAGTATTCGTAGATTCAAATTCTTTTTTTTTCTTTCATTTTTTACTTTATTAGTACATGTTTGCAGTATGTAATGATTACATTCACTGTAGGGGATTGGAACGTGTACATAAACATGTTTCACCTCTCTGATAATTGTATAGGGCTAGAGGTATATCTCAGTGACTGAACACTTGCCTAGTATACACAAGGTTTGATCCCTGGCAACACAAAGAAATACATAAATACAGACACTGTTATTACAAAGCATTATAAAATGAAAACTAATCTGGGTGTGCTGGTGCATGCCTATAATCCCAGAACTTGGGAGGCTGAGGTAGGAGGATTGTCTTGAGCTCAAAGCCAGCCTGGGCTACGTAGTGAGTTCAGAGCCAGCCTGAATTACAAAATGGGACCCTGTCTCAAAATACCAAAAAAAAAAAAAAAAACCAAACTAAAATGGTGGTTAACTTTACATTTTTTAATATTTGCACTATAATACATACAATTTACATTATATTATGTTGAAACTCAAAGCTATTCAATTATAAACAGATTTACAACTATAGCATGTTATAATTTAGCTAATTTTTACAAATTGGTCCTTATAAAAACCTAGGTAATGTTGTCAAATTATATAGACCTGTAAACTTTCCATTTAAATATTCTGAGTAAAGTTTAAAAGTGCAATCATTTTCTAGTAATTAATGTCAACATTAATCCTAGAGGTAACCCTGTTCTGACTTTTGTGATAATCTTTTATTTTTGCTTTTGTTTATAGGTTTATCTTCTTTATTAACATACCCAAACAACATACTTTAACTGATATTTGAACTTTATAAACTTGAAATTGTAACTATTTTCTTTCACTCTACACTGTAAAATTCATCATATTGTTGCAGATATCTGTATTTGGTTCATTTTTAATGTTGGACAGTATATGACTGTATGAATATACAATTTATCCATGATAACTTTGAGGGGAATTCTTGTTTTCAGGTTTTGACAGTAACAAAACATTGCTGCGATGAATATTCTTGGCAGTGTACATAACAGGGGTGTCTCTAGGGTATTTTCATAAGAATTGAATTATTGGTTTATGGAGCATGGACACTTTCAATTCAAGTAGATGATGCCTAACTTTTCCGAATGCTATGTACTAATTTACACCCTTAACATTCGTTACCAACAAGTCTCATTGCTCCACCTGCTGGCAAACACTTGGTATTACAAGACAAGTTTTGCCTGTTCAGTAGCTTTTTGCCTAAAATGGAATCTTATAATTAGATTTTCCTGATTATTATTAATGTTGATCATCTTTTCATACACTTATTGGACATTTGGATTTCCTATTTTATGAAATATTTGTTTAAGACATTTTCCATTTTTTTCTAGTGAGTAGTATGACTTTTTCAAATTAAGTTGTCGGAATTTTTTGTTCGAACTTTAGTCCCTTGTCCTTTACACGTGCTGCATATTTCTTTCCCCATTTGGTCATTTATTTTTTCATTTCATTGATGATTTCTTTTGATAAGCAGAAGTTCTATGATAATATAGTCAAAGTTATCAATCCTTTCTCTTTATGATAAGTGCTTTTCGTGCCCCCCAAAGGAATCTTTCTTTACCTCAACACCGTAATGATATTATAAGATATTAATGTTTAAATTTTTATAGTTTTATCCTTTGAATTTAGGTCTTTAATATTCTTGATATTAATTTTGTGTAGAATGTGAGAAATTCAATTTCATTTTTTAAATATCCAATTGCCCCAATGTCATTTGTTGAAAAGTCTTTCCCTCCCCATTTATAATGACAACTCTGTCAAATACAAAGTATTAATATATTCATGGGATTATTTCTGGCCTGCTTTTTTATTACAAGGGTGTATTTGTTTAATCTTGTGCCAGTATGGCATTACCTTATTACTGTAGATTTGGAATAAATCTTGATAGCTAATGGAGAAATTCTTTCCACCTCATTTTTATTTCTCAAGAGTTTCTTAACTATTTGTATTAGTAGCTGCAAAAAAGGCATTTTATTTTATACAAAAATTGCTGATGAGATTTTAATTTCCACAAAATATTGTTTTTAATGTAAACAAAAATAATGGTTGTAATTATAATTTTAATGTTTCTCAAAGTTTCATAATATTCCTCAGTGCTTAATAATCTGTTAGGTTTTTATTAGTTGCTTAATTTTTTTTTACCAATTACTGACAGCAAAGAGGACTATCATGCATAGGATTATAATGAGTTTCCTATAGATAATGATTTTTTTGTTTTGTTCCAAGAGAAAAATACACATTTCTTGAGAAATTGATTCATTTTCAGTGATCTCTTATGTTGACATGTTCAATATTATATACATTAATCAACAAATAGAATATATTATATCAAAAAGATGCCAGTAATTCATCAGGTTTTCAAAAAGTAAATAACAAACCTTAAATACATTTTGATAATGGAGAACTGTGAGATGGAGTACAAAAAAGCCCAGGATATCTGTATCCAACAGCCTACCTGAAATTTTCACTGGGATGTAGGCATTTTAAGCTTGGTATGTAAAGACTGAACATTTTATTCCCTCTATCAACTTATTCCTAGTTTCTGCACTTCCAGTTTTATCATTTTTTGGTATGTCAACCCAAGTATCCTAACATATCAGGGAATGGACTCCCTCATTCACTACTCTAGTTCCAGTACCTAGACTGTCTTATACATAAGTGTTCAATAAATATTTGTAGAATGAATGGACCCTATTCTTCAAAAATGTTCAATTAAAAATTGTTCAATAATATGTACAAAATGGTTTATATATTTTTTGTTGTTGTTGTTGTTGAAGCATTAAAACCTCCTACTGTTGATTTTATTTTTTTTCTTAAATTCCTTTATTGGTACATTTTAGGTATACAACACAATTACGTTTCTCATTGGGAACTTGTAGCTTTACATGACGCATCTTGGTTCTTATTTTTTCCCCATTCCTAGCCCTCCCTTCACCCCCTCCACCCTTCCCTATTTACAAAGACTTTGTTTCCATTTTTTCCATTTCTCATCATTTTTCCTTTCCCTTCTTTCCTTTCCCCTGCCCTTCCCACTACTGCTACCCCTTTGGACCTTTTCTTCCTATTTTGCATTATCAATTATTCATTCTAATCATTGGTACATTTTAGGTATACAATATAATGACATTCATCATTGAAAGTTTGCACCTTTACATAATCTCTCTTGGTTCTTATTTTTCACCCTTGCCCAGCCCTCCCTTCAACTCTTCCATTCCTCCCTATTTACAAAGATTTTGTTCCTATTTTTCCATTTTCTCATATTAATTCCATTCCCTTCTTTCCTTTCCCCTAGCCCTCCCACTTCCTTCCCCTTTGCCCCTTTTCTTCCTATTTCACATTACCTATTATACATTTTAGTCCTTATTTACACTTTCAGTTTCTCACACCAGAGAAACTATTCGGTATTTATACATGTGTGTCCTATTTATTTCACTTAAGAGTATTGCTTCAATGTGCATCCATTTAGCTATAAATGTCTCTAATTTCTCATTTTTTATGTCTGAGTGGTACTCCATTTTATAAAAAAAACACATTTTCTTTATCCAGTCTCCAGTATATTTTTAAAAGAACCAAAAGACATTTGTCCTTCTATTTCAATTATTAGACCCACAGTCATTGCTCAGTCCCTATTTATTTTGTACCTGAAATATTGCTACAAATCTTTTTAGTGGACCTGCTTTACATCTTCCAATGTGAATACCTTACAACATAAAATCCAAACCACTCAGCATATCATTCAAGGTTCTCCATAATTCAACATGAGGCTACCTTTCCACCTATTTTTCCTTACTTAAACATTATGAATCTCAATTTCCAACCACACAAGACTACTGGGTATCTCCTGAGTGTGCCTTACACTTCCCTTCCTTCTTATTTCTACTTCTTCCTAGAATCTCTTTGCCCTCATTGCTTTCCTAACCAAA